TCAATCTTTATGATCATATCTCAATCTTAATAGTCATATCTCAATCTTTATAGTCATATCTCAATCTTTATGGTCATATCTCAATCTTAATAGTCATATCTCAATCTTTATAGTCATATCTCAATCTTTATAGTCATATCTTAATCTTAATGGTCAGATCTCAATCTTTATGTCATATCTCAATCTTTATGTCATATCTCAGTCTTTATGGTCATACCTCAATCTTTATGGTCATATCTCAATCTTAATAGTCATATCTCAATCTTTATAGTCATATCTCGATCTTTATGGTCATATCTCAATCTGTATGGTCATATCTCAATCTTTGTCATATCTCAATCTTTATGATCATATCTCAATCTTAATAGTCATATCTCAATCTTTATAGTCATATCTCAATCTTTATGGTCATATCTCAATCTTAATAGTCATATCTCAATCTTTATAGTCATATCTCAATCTTTATAGTCATATCTTAATCTTAATGGTCAGATCTCAATCTTTATGTCATATCTCAATCTTTATGTCATATCTCAATCTTTATGGTCATACCTCAATCTTTATGGTCATATCTCAATCTTAATAGTCATATCTCAATCTTTATAGTCAGATCTCAATCTTTATGTCATATCTCAATCTTTATGTCATATCTCAGTCTTTATGATCATATCTCAATCTGCAGTCAATTTTACCAGCAGTAATTTCCAATTTCTCTACAAATGACCACATATTAGTCCAGCGTGATTTCTGAATCAGCAGTGAGATTTGTCTTTGTGTCAGGGGTCAACTTGGATATGAAGAAGTTGTGCCTCTCTCAAGGATTGAACCAGCAACCCCTGGGCTTAAGGTTTTAATTTTTTATGATTTCTGTTTGAAATCACAGGATTTTCATTGGTAAAAGATATGAGATATAAGATCTGACCAAAAAATTAGTTAAAATTGGCATAAAAAACTAGCAAAGACTGACAAATCATATCATAATAAAGAAATGGAGGAAGAATTAAGAAATGGAGGTAGAATTGTAATTGTGATATAAAAATTGAATTCTTTTTAAGATAAAAAATTGGGGAGCAAAATTATATAGAGAGTCAAGTGAGGTATCTTGATTTATGTGTAACAGGTCGAGGATTGATGAGTAAACTAAACAATTGTTTGTCATGTTATTTATGTGTTTGATTGTTTCACGGTATAACATGATGCTACCAATTAAGGTCCATTATTACATACATTATAACAATAATTGCCTCACACCTTCTTGCAGACATGCCGTCGCCTGTGTCTTTCCACCAGGTTATATTGTAGCAAAATCTGGAAGTTCTTGGTATATCATTCTTAAAATAGGCGTAAATTGTACTATTCCATTCATTTAGATACAGCGGTTTTCTTTTATTACTTGGTGAAACGGTTATAGGGTATATATATTAATAGAGCTCACACTTGAGCTAGATATTCTGATTGTTATCTAAAATGTCTGTCTGACTAGAAGAATTAGAAGTAGGTAATTTATTCGTGATTTGATACTTAAATTAATGAATCTTAAATGTGTTTCTCCTGTGAAGTGCTGTTACATAATAAAATTTTACTGGTTTTTGAGTGATTTTGTTTTACCTCCAGAGCGAATATAAATGCAGTTCTGTTTAAGTTTTAACATTTTGTTTTTAGACTTGCTTAATGTCTTAATGGACTTGTTCAACTTTCTTTTAATAAATTTTGGAGATATTAAAATGAATTTTTTTTTTTTTTTTTTTTTTTGGGGGTGGGTTTTAAATTGCACCAAATCTGGTCCCAGGAAGACCTTAAGTACCCCATACTTGCATTATTTCAGGCACAAGCTAGCAAAATGAGTAGAGCACCAACATTCCGTAAGCTAGTTTGACAACTTCCTCACATGATAGAATCCATAGTCCCTGGTAGGATTTGAACCTACAGCAGTGAGGGGCAAGTGGTATGAAAATTTAGAATAAGATAACCAACAGTATAGTGCCTAGTCAAGATCTTTGCAGTCTGGCCTGTCTTTTTACTGGTGTATAAAGCTGATCACCTCCAGTCCCAGCTAGATAACTGTTAAATAATTTTTGTACCTACATCCATCCTCTACCTGTATTTAAAATTGCTGCCTAACAAAGAATCATGGCCAGTGAAAAGTGTGATAGATCTCTACGAAACGAAACGTGTGATTAACTCTACCAATAAGACCAGTACAGACCACGATTAGCTGGCACCTCTGTGCTGTATGATCACAGCTGCCCCCTGAAAATTAGAAAAATTCCTGAAAATGATAAATGGTTTTGTCCAAATTAAAAAAATGATCAAATCCATTTAAGATATTTAGTGAGGTTAGAATCTAGGTCTATGGATTCAGAAACATCCAATGTTTAAAGATTTATCAGTCTGATCTGGTAGACTGATGTATTTATACCCACACCACAAAATTTTGGGGGTGTTATAATGGATTCGCTTTGTCGCGTCGGTCGGTCCGTCCATCCGTCGGTCGGTCGGTCCGCCCGTCTTCATTTTCGTGTCCGCTCTATAGATCCTATACCAATTGAAGGATTTTCTTCAAACTTGGCTCAAATGTTCACCTCAACAAGGTAATGTGCAGAATCCATGTTGCTCATGTGTCAGCTCTAGATCAAGGTCACAATTGAAGATAAATTTAAAAAACAATCAAATATTACACAGTATGTCGTGTCCGCTCTGTAAGTTCTACACTAATTGAAAGATTTTCTTCAAACTTGGCTCAAATGTTCACCTCAACAAGGGGATGTGCAGAACCCATGTTGCCCATGTGTCAGCTCAAGGTCAAGGTCACAATTGAAGGTCAAATATCAAACAATAAAATATTACACAATATGTCGTGTCCGCTCTCTAAGTCCTACACTTATTAAAAGATTTTCTTCAATCTTGGCTCAAATGTTCACCTCAACAAGGTAATGTGCAGAACCCATGTCACCCTTGTGCCAGCTTAAGGTCAAGGCCACACTTGAAGGTCAAAAATTGACTTTAAAATGTTTAGTACATTGGGAAAAAGAAAGGTTATTTGTAACTGTTTCGAACATGATTTGATAATAAATATTTATACTATTACCTGTCAAGGACATTGGTGGGGGTATGAATCGCATTCAGCGATAGTTCTAGTTTCCACTGAATTGGCTTTGTTTTAATGACAGTTTATTTTGTACTTATTGTTGCATTAGTTGGAAATTGGAGAAATTTGCAGAAAGTAAAAAGGTTCAGATATTTTATTACCAAGGGAAGAAACTATTATTTTTATGATGTATTGATATATTTTGAGTTACTCCCCCTATAACCTCAAACTTTCTATTAAACTGAATTTAGATAATGTTGTTTTCATTTTAAGCTAAAACAGCGATAGTGTTTTTATCTGTTAGATCCTTAGAAAACTAGTCTGACGTTTTACATTCGACCATACTGCCACTCTGTTACATTTGTGATTTATATTTTTCTTTTGAAAGTTAGTATTAATGTTTTACAAAATAATAGATAATGTGTAGGGCCATAATGGCTCTTATGTTCATATTTTTTTTCTCTTCAAATATTCTTAAACTAATTCACAAAGTAATTTATAAATCAAATGTCTTTCTTCTACATAACAACATTTTTGTATTCTGTTATTCTGCAGACATTGTGCACCAATAGGAACAGGGGCATAATGGGTTTCCTTAATAAAAACTTCTAGAAAATGTGTAAAAGGCATGCCTGTTTGTCTGATGGTGTTTTTTTTTCCCCAGAAAATTAATATTTGGTAAGGGACTTTGTTTGTAGAATATTTTTATAAATGATTGGATAGTTCATACTTTTAATTCACAAGGTGGTTACCAGAATGATGATTCTAAAAGCATTAAATGTTGAAATGTATAAATGGAATACCTTTTATCTCATTGATTTTGTGATTTATGATATGTCTCTATAGAAATAAAATGTTTGTTTAACCATCCTGGCAATGCTATGAAAATAATCCAGCCATCATATTTATAACTAATGGAACTTACAAGTAAAAAGGTCACACTTAGATTAGTAATATATAATTTGCCACTGGGGACAGTATCTGCTTCATTATTAATGAGAATTATTACTGATTTTTCACCTTTGCTATTTATTTTAGCATCAACTACAGATATCACAGATGTTTTGCTGGATATAATTTTATGCTTTGCTGATAAATATGGAAAATATTAGCATCTTTTAGCATTTTGGGTTTTTTTTCTGTGGATTTGCTTTCTTCTGGAAATTCACTAATTTTTAGACAATGAATGATAACTAGATTTTGTGTCAGATTTTTCATTAGTGTTATTTTGATTCAACTTTGCTTGTGTGCACGATTTGGATATTTTTAATTGGTGTGAAATTTAATTGTATTTTGATGTTTATTGACTGGTTGGTATAACATGTTTCAGTTTGATTTATTTTTGATTCTTTTACTTTAAATTATTATAATTAGATGCTTATTATGTAGATTTTCACATTTATTAAAAAATAAGAAAACAAAGAAAGAAAAGAAGTTGTTGAAATAAGAAAGTAGTTGTATTGAATTTTTATTTTGTCAATGTAGATACAGGGTGGAAATTAGTGTTGTTTTACACATGTGTGGGAGTATATCTTAGTTCACATTAAAATACCCAGAAATGTGACACTTACATTGCAATAAAGTTTTCAGGGGATTTTTGTTTGTGCATGTTGAGCATTAGTAGCCATAGAAAATCGCCTGGTTTTCCGAATTCAGAGGTTCCAGTATTTTCATATGACATTTTCAATCACTTACATGTACATGCTGTATAGTGCCATGTATTTCAAAGGAGGGTCTATATCCTAATTGAGGACATAAAAATGGATTGTACTGAAGCCAAAATATGCAACTTTGATGAAAGCATTGTTTATGCTTTGGCCATGAATTCTGATCTAAACTAACATTTAATTTTCACTGTTTTTTAGCATCATTTAACTGAAAATTCTGATAGTAATTCATTATTTCACTTCAGGTACAGCTGAAATGGATGAACTAATGCTTGAAAGTCAACCAGACAAAAAGGATAGAATTGACAGCTGTAACAATAACAATGACAGTGTGTTTGAAAGCCCGGCTATTGCAGGAATGGAAATAAATGCATCTGCATCCCAAATCAGTGGACAGGTTGTTGATAAAAAACTTGTTTTTGAAATGAAAAACTTTGCTGAGGGCAGTGTATCCACTGTTGGCTCAGATGGAAGAAGACTAGAGTCTGAAGAATTTGAAAATATTTCAGTTTCTAATCTTGATAAATTCACACTCTCTGCATCAAATAAAATATCAGCAGAAACACCTAGTGAATTATCCGATGGACTTACAGTTACTGCAGATAAGTCTGTAGATACAAGCAAGGATGTTATTAGCCAAAATGTTGCTCTTGTTGAAAAGGAAATAGAAAATGATGCTGGTTTAAGTGCTTCGGGTGTTGCACTACATAAGCCTAGGACTGGAAGCTTTGATTGTATGAAGTTTGAGGTTGCTCATGATGTTATTGAAGAAGAGAAAGATTTTGTTGATGGAATGGATGATAATTTAAGAGTTAATGATAAACATGTGGAAGGTGTCAGGAGAAGGAATGTTGAATCTGGTTCTAAAGTTGACAATGATAACTCGGATGCTAAAGAGACAGATATAGATATAAGAAGTAGTAGTGAGAATGATATATGGGATGCTAGAAGAAGTGGGTATCTAAAGCAGTCAAAGAAGAATCAAAGTTTGGATGAACCAAGTGTGTCTCAGGTAAAGCAGATAATATAGTTAGTAATCAAATATCTATATAGCTTCACCCTGCCTGATGAGCTAACACATTTTCAAAAATTAAAATTGAAGAAAAATACATGTTTGAAAATTATATTAAAGGGACTTTACTAACTAAGATTTTTTAGAAGGACAGGACTGGAGACAATTTTTTTAAATTTATGTTAAGAGGTCTAAGCAAATAACTTGTGTCACACCATTTTTCCATAATATACATTTAATTTTAGAAAATGCTAGGTCGTCTGTTGCAACAGGAGCTTATTGTCTACTGCATAGAGTAGTAATTATAGTTGTAAAAATAGAATTGAGTATAATATCTAGGATGTCTGTTGCATTGTCAATTTGTCAGAACTAAATATAGTTATATACATGTATGGTAATCTATTGCATTTGCAACTAGGTTGTCAGTTTGCTGGAGGATGATCAATTAACTTAATTGTCTGTTGCAAAGTGAACAGGATGCTATGTTGCTAAATTTGTTGATTGTTGTTGGACTTTGAATCAATTTTCCAGTTTTTTTTTGTTTTTTTTTACAATTTGCCAAGCATGACCTCATTTCCTAAGACCTCTGTAAGTTCCCCATTTAATTTTTCTTCTCCTTTATATTGATCTGGAAAAATGGGTGGGGGGATTCAAATTAGAGACTATGTAAATAATTGAATTCCTGAATGAAACAAAGGTTGTTTATTTTGAATTCATCACCGTTTTTCAGGAAGCGTTAAATTACTTTTGGAGATGAAATTTGAGGTTCACTCATTTATCAGAATTTTGGAATTTTTTCAGAATGCTGACTTTTTTTAGATGTTACAGTAATAAATTTCTGGTTTGGCATTTCTGGTTTTCTGTGTGTTTAAGATAACAGGTTATAGGTCTTGATTTATATACTGATGTTTTTTTTTTCTGGTTATATTTACATATTAATGAAATGTTTGCAATTGAGAAAAGTTTTATCTGAAAAAAAAATGAAACATGCAGAATTCATACAACTCTGTGAGTAGACTGTTGAAATTTTGAAGATATTTTTTCGCTATTATTGTTTTCGGATTCATAATTTTTTTCTTACCTATTGTTCAATTTATTTATGTTTTTAAATCATTTATTTTGACAGAGAAGTGTTTCATAAGTGATATTAATGTGTTGTCATTTTGAAGAATAATTTTAGAAAAATAATTAAGTTAATTTCACAGTAAAAAATGTGGAAGTATTATCAATGTTAAAAAAAATTGTTTAGAGGTTTGTAGAAAATTTGGATTTGATTAAAATTTATGTAATGTTAAAATGATACAGGTTACAGTATATTGAAGGGTTGTTCAGGTTACAGTTTTAAAATTATTGTTACATATAGAATTAACACATAATTTAAATACTCTATAACATAGAAGAAGGGATTTAGTTATTACCCTTACCATACTGAATGTGATATATTTTTTACAGCTTTAAAATTTAGAGCTTTTTTGTAAAAAGATTTTTTTAGGAATTTCAGTATCAAAATGATAAAAATATAGCTACCAACAGTATAGACAATAGTCAGGCTTTGTGGATGCGCAAGCTGGCATAGCTTTATACTGGTAACTTAGGCAAGTTGTTAAAGTCGATAGGTTTCGGTTGTTAAAGAAAGAAAAAATGGAAAATTTTATGTTACAGGGTTGTTATAAAGACAAGGACAGGTCACGGTTCAGCGGAAGGGTTATCAGTATAAAGGAACATTACGGACATATGATGGAGATGAGAAGGAGGTCAGAGAGTGGTCTGAGCGGAAATGATGAGAAACCTCGACAGAATTACAGGTAAGAATTCTTAACTGCATGACAAATGATTAAACCTTTGTTGTTTTATGTTACTATTTCTAGATAGGTACTCTTGGTTTATTATGCTCCCCGAAAAATTTCGGGGGAGCATATAGTCGTCAGGTTGTCCGTCCGTACGTACGTACGTCCCAAATTCGTGTCCGGTCCATAACTTCGTTATTTGAAGTTGGATTTTAAAACTATTCCACAGAAATGATCACCATATTGAGAAATGTGTCGCGCACAACATTTGGGTTGCTACCTTGAAGGTCAAGGTCACAGCATGACCTTGCAGCAAAATCGTGTCCGGCCCCATAACTTTGATATTTGAAGTCGGATTTTAAAACTATTTCACAGAAATGATCACCATATTGAGACGACGTGTTCACGCGCAACATTTGGGTCGCTACCTTAAAGGTCAAGGTCACAGCATGACCTTGCAGCAAAATCGCTGTCCGGCCCTCAACTTAGTTATTTGAAGTCAGATTTTAAAACTATTTCACAGAACTGATCACCATATTGAGATGACATGTCACACGCAACATTTGGGTCGCTACCTTAAAGGTCAAGGTCACAGCATGACCTTGCAGCAAAATTGTGTCTGGCCCTCAACTTAGTTATTTGAAGTCAGATTTTAAAACTATTTCACAGAACTGATCACCATATTGAGATGACGTGTCACACGCAACATTTGGGTCGCTACCTTGAAGGTCAAGGTCACAGCATGACCTTGGAGCAAAATCGTGTCCGGCCCATAACTTCGTTATTTGAAGTTTGATTTAAAACTATTTCACAGAAATGATCACCATATTGAGACAATGTGTCGTGCGCAACATTTGGGTCACTACCTTGGACTTCAAGGTCACAGCATGAACTTGCAGCAAAATCATGTCCGGCCCATAACTTCGTTACTTTAAGTCAGATTTAACAACTATTTCACAGAGATGATCACCATATTGAATCGACATGTCACATGCAACATTTGGGTCGCTACCTAGAATGTCAAGGTCATAGCATGACCTTGCAGCAAAATCGTGTCCGGCCCATAACTTCGTTATTTGAAGTCAGATTTTACAACTATTTCACAGAAATGATCACCATATTGAGACAATGTGTCGTGCACAACATTTGGGTTGTTTTTACACTTTGAACTTTGTCTGTGACATAACTCTGACACTTCAAGAGGTATACCTTCCAGTGTCCAAAACCTATTCGGGGAGCATCACCCGGTTCAACCGGCTCTTGTTTGTCGTAGTCATAAATGGTTCTTTCATAAGGTAAGTGTTTTTACAGAATTATTGTCATTATACCCACACAAACGAAGTTTAGGGGGTTTTATAGGAGTCAGATTGTCAGCTGGTTACAATGGTCGGTGGGTCAGTTGGTCCACATGATGGTTTCCCAACGATAGTTGGAAGTTTGGAATGAGGTATTGTAATCATACTTGATTTATAGTAACCTTATGAAGAAACCCAGGTTTGTATTGCATTTGGACCACCTGGGTCAAGGTCACTATTACTATAAATAGAAAAATGGTTTCCAGATAGGAATATATGAGATATTGTAATCAAACTTGGTTTATAGCAAGCTGATATGAAGACCCCGGTTGGTTTTGCATTTGGACCCCCTGTGGTCAAGGTCACTATTACTAAAAATAGAAAAATTGTTCGTAGAAGATGACAGTAGTTAAAAATATGATATTGTAATCAAACTTGGTCTTTAGTAGCAACCTTATGTGGAAACCCTGGTTGGGATGGCATTTGGACCCCCTGGGGTCAAGGGTAACTATTACTAAAAATAGAAACATGGTTTTCAGACAATAACTAGAGTTAGGAACTCAAATTTAGTATAAAGAAAGTTTATATGAAGATCCTGGTTGGGATTGCAATTAAATGAAATAAATCTTTTTATACTTCATTAATTTTTTCTTCAGACCACATATTTTTCAAAAAGTCAAAAGTTGCTGGGAGGAGGGTATAAATCATCTACAATGATAGCTCTAATTAAGTGCTGATGGAATTCATGATTCAATTATTTTTGACTAAGTGGTAGCTGTTTTTCTTCTTCCATATATGGAATATATAGGAAAATATGATCCAGTGTGTAGATGTACTACATTTCTCAACTCAATAAATTGTAAGCAAGAGTTCTAAGAACTATTATCGTAAGAGTATTGTCATTTTAACATTATTGGCAGAAATACTGGTTTTGTGAAACAATTTATTGTCACTTGTATAACGTTGATGACAACAATACAAATTTAGGATTTTATTGTGTGAAGGATTATCAATTTTATTTTTACTGTTAATATCTCATCATGCTTACTTTCTTTAGTACAAGGGAAGTAAATAATAAATGCCCATTATATAAGTCTTGGCATACTTGTTTCCCTTGATTTAGCTTTCTGAAGAGATATATATAGCCATTAATTATACTTAGTTCATTAATGGTTTAAATTGACACTAATATGTTAGAAGAAATGATCATCTTATCTCTATAATTATGTGAATTTATTTAGGATATTAGTAGCAATAGGAACTTTGTGGAAAAAAACTTTGTACACTTGTATCTTGATATACAGTGTGTTTGCCATAAATATTACCGGTAGGGCATGTGGTTGCAGGAGTTTCCTTCTGTCCTACCTTCCATCACGGTCCATGCTCTTTTACAACTTCGAAATGTGTTGTAGAATATGCATGTTATGTAACTGTACTTCTAAAAATGGGTTTCAGATTGATTTGGTCAAGGTAACTGAGGCATTAAATAGATTTTCTTACCTTTTTTTTCCTCAAAGAAAAGCCATTTTGTTTTAGCTTTGACAAAGATGATTCCATGTAACCTGGACCTAAAGCCACCATACCATGTCTTTAGAATAAATAGGCAATTTAGCCGTCTTTATATGCATTGATACAATGTCTAAGGGATATTTTCTTGATCATCAATTTTATAAAATTAAAATGCTTCCAGTTGAGGTTCACTTCACCCACGCAATTTTTTTTTTACTTTTTAGGCAGGATGTTTTTTCTTAGTATAATTTTTTTTTTCTGCACAACTTCATCTTTTCTGAAGTGATTTCCGCCAAAGTTTCACATTTGATTATCAAGTGCTGTGGTGCATATTATTGGGATCTTTGATAAGATAATTTTTGGCAGGATTTATGGTTCTTTGATGTTTTTTTCCACATAGTTATACATTATTTGCAGAAAAATCCGGTTTTGTGACAATTTCTAGTCACTTGTTTTATCACAGAATATTGTCATTACTAATACATTTTGATGTTCAATATGGGACCATATTTAGTCACCGGTTTGTAATTAATCAAATCATAACTGTTGTTATATTGTCAGATCTGGAAAAAATTGATTTATTTATTAAACTTTAGTCACTCTAAATAATTGTTTTAGCTTTATTAAGGCAGCATTTATTATCAACTGTGGTTTATATTTCTATTGATGTTGGTTATGTAAATTTGATAATCATTGAAGGAGCTCTGCAGCTGAGGTCCAAAAGCCTGGGAAAAAAAAAACAAATTAAAAAAAATAATTCTGTTTTGCCTGCAGTAATCTGTATATAAATTTATGAAGAAAAAAAAAATCTTTGTGAAAATGATAATATTAAGGTGGGCTTAATTTTGTAATGATCAATTTTCACTAGAAATGACCATATAGGATTCATGTAAACCTACCGTAAAATCCTGGTTTAATGCTACCCTAATTAATGCCCCCCACCCACTTTTGAAAACCTTGTAGTACTATTTTTAAAAGATAATTGTGAACTTTTTTATGCCCCTGGGCATATAGTAATTGAACCGTCTGTCCGTATGTCCGTCTGTCTGTCCGTTGTCTTGTCCGGAGCATAACTTGAAAACCCTTGGAGATAATTTGTTTAAACTTCATACAGTGGTAGAGGGCATTGAGGGGGAGTGCAGTGTCAAAGAACCATAACTCTATTTTGCCCGGTTTTTGAATTATCTCCCCTTATAGAAAAATCTTGTCCGGGGCATAACTCTAAAACTATAAGAAATATCAACCTGAAACTTTGTAGGTGAATAGATCTCAATGGGTAGATGTACAGTGCATAAGAACAATAACTCTTTTTGTCCTAATTTTGGAGTTATTGCCCTTTGTTAATTTCAACACTTTGAACTTTGTCCGGAACATAACTCTAAAACTATAAGAGATATCAAGATGAAACATTGTAGGTAGATAGATCTCATTGAGTAGAAGTGCAGTGCAAAAGAACCATAACTCTGTTAAGCCTCATTTTTGAATTATCTCCCCTTTTAGAAAAATCTTGTACTGGACATAGCTGTAAAACTATAAGAGATATCAACATGAAACTTTGTAGGTAGATATATCTCAATGGGTAGATGTGCAGTGCACAAGAATCATAACTCTGCCTTGCCTAATTCTGGAGTTATTGCCCTTTGTTTATTTTTACTTTTTGAAGTTGTCCGGAACATAACTCGGAAACCATAAGAGATATCAACAAGAAACTTTGTAGGTTGATAGATCACAGTGATTAGAAGTGCAGTGCAAAGAACAGTAACTCTGCCTTGCCTAATTTTGGAATTATTGCACTTTGAACTTTTTCCAGGGACATAACTCTGAAACTACAAGAGGTGTACTTTCCTGTGTCCAAAACCTATTCGGGGAGCATCACCCGGCTCAAATCTGGCTCTTGTTTAAACATTGTTCATATATTTTATGGAAACCATAAATGTTTAAGTTTTGTATTTAGATTTAAGGATATTTGTTAGAGTTCTAGAATGCCTTTTCTAAGATAAAACCATTGACCATTAAAATATGGTGGTCTGGTCAGACGATATTAATAGAGTCCCCTCGACTAATAATGCAACAACTAGCAATCTGTGAGATATTTTTTCATTTTGACAATGTTCATTTAATTTTACAAGATTTTTTCCCCAAATTCCTGATTACTAATCTTCTACGAAATGAGAAACAATAATTGTAATAGATAATTAAAGAATTTTATCCTCACAAG